AATCACTAGCCTAAAAGGTGAGATTAGTGTAACCTGGTAACCACCCACATAAAGTCTTGGGGTGCGAATTTGTCCGTTCTACCTTAAAGGAAGTATGTGAGGGAGGGTTCGGGCTCCGAGGACATTGGTCAAAATTAAATCTTGAAAAGTTTTCGTTCCATGGCCAGAGGCATCAACCTTGTACGTGATAAAATCACAGATTTTTTAACTTTGAGAGAAATAAGTTGGGCCAGCAGCTTAGGTGAATGTCTTAGGTCATCGTTGTCCCCTAAGCTGATTATAACACACTCAGCACTTCCATCTTTCTCCATCTAAAGGATTTTCTGACTCCCAAAGGCTTCTACAGTCAAGTTCAAAGGTCATGCTTATCAGCACTAATGACTAATATTTCTGGTTTGATTGCAGTTGGATGACTTCAGGTTCAAATGTCAACATTGTTGAGTTTAGTGTGAGTTTGTGTTGCCTTAAGATTAAAGCATGCTCAGGTCAAACACCCTCAGGTTGAATTCATCGTTGTCCCCGTCGGCGTTTCAGTGAGCCGGTGTTCAGCCTCTGTGTTTGTGTCGTACCACTGCATGTTACTCATGTATTCACTTTCATAATAATGCATATTTATTCATCAGAGTCCACCAGAGGAACAGTTTTAGTGGCTCATTCATCTGCCAGTTTCACATTTTTCATCTTATTCAGAGACAAGTTGCAGATGTCTATGGTTTAATATTTTTAACTGACTGCTCAATGCTTTAGTCAGGTTTAAACTCTGCATCCAAACAGAAAACGACCCTTCACGCTCATTTTCTATTTAAAAAAATGCCGCTGGATTGATGATTCCCATGTTTCCAGAGTCACAGCAGTTGGGAATTTCATCTTAACCGGGACTTCATTTTTGCCAGAACGCATTTTTGATTTTTTTATGAGCATAAATCTGCAGGAAGTCTAATTCTACATTTAAATTCTGTTTTGATTTTTTCATCAGAACATTACACAACTCCACCAAACCTGCAGTGGAAGAATAAACAACTAAAATGGTCTTTAAACATTAATATGGTGAGACAGTCAATTATAATCCATCAGATTCTGCTGTGTGTTAACGACAGAGCTGTGACCTGATAAATCTGGTTACTTACAGTCGCCATTTTTAGTCTCCTGTCTTCAAATGAGCTGAACTTTATTATTTAGTAGACCTTCTCCAATTATACTGAACAAAGTGTTTAGAGCACACACGTGCTCACATGCTTTGGAGGTCATATTTTACGCACTGACTGCCCAGAGTCGTCATGTCCACCAGGCCGCCCCCGAGCAACATGGCGGAGGACTTTCATCGATCATCTACCCACCTTAGATGTTGCATGGGATGAGGCCGAAGCAGCTGCAGCTGACCGAGTATGCTGGCGAAGACTTGCACACAGATGCGCCGAACAGCGCAGGAGGACCCAAAAGACATGCTCATACAGATGCTGTGTTTCTTTCATTCTGTCTTCTGTGTTTAACCTCTTTATATTTTCTAGGTTTACCTTTATTTGTAATGCTAATAGTAAAGCTGTCCATGTTTGTGATATGTCAGACGCTCGGCCACCTCAACAGACAGCGCCTGGTTATGTGTAACTATCATGAATGTGTAAACAGTCATGTGTGCGTCACAGGCTCCTACCAGGCGGCGAATCTCTCTCTCACAGTCTCTCTTGGTCCTGTTAAGCTCCTCTTGGTGCTGATGATGAGCTGATCGCAGCTCGGCCGCTCTGGCCTGGCAGGCCTGCTGAGCCGATGTCAGCGCCTCCTCAGCGTTCCTCTTTGCTCCTCTCAGCTCAAGAATCTCGTGTTGGAAGCGACA